CTCTCAGGACAGAAAGAGAGCACAGAGGTACGTGGCAGGTGTACTATCACGTGAGTGACAGAAACAGACCATTGGAGATTACAGAGTACATGGAGAAGGAAAATAACCACTAACTGCTCCTTGGAGAAATGATAAATGGAAAATGTAGACAGGTGCCTACCAATAACTCACAATTGCTTCCCAGCTCAGGGGAATAAAGATGGGTTTGGAAAATTTATCTAATCATTTTCTAAACATTTTCAGATCATCTGGTACCAAAAGGTGTTTAGACTTTTCTCAAGAACCAAGAAAATTCTTCCCTTAGAGAATATATAGCATAAGAAATTCTCCAGCTCTTTCAATCAAATAAAGTTATCAGTTGGAATAAAACTCTCTTAGTATGTCTTGGGCTATAGTAGAGGGCATCGTATTATATTTATTAATAAGGCACAAATGAATGCTATGAAGTTCCAACAGAAAATTAATTTTTATAAATATACAAAGTAGAGCTGGCAGATTTAGCAAATAAAAATACAAGAGCCCCATGAAATCTGAATTTCAGATAAATAACAAATATTCGTTTGGTATGAGTATGTCCCATGCAATATTTAGGACTGACTTGTGCTAACAAAATTATTCATTGTTTATCTGAAATTCAAATTTAACTGGGCTTAAGTATTTTTCTTGCAACCCTGGCAAAATGCCTCCTCCAGGCAACCCAGAAGCTATCTGGAGATAATCACTAAGTCTATAACAGGACAAGCTTCAAGGAGTTAAGAAGTTATCAGTGAGGAATTTGGATTCACACCTGATAAATAATGTCATTTGATAGTGAATTGAAATAAGGATCCTCTCTGAGAAGGATTTTGTGCCATAAAAATATATTCTTCCTTTGGTAACTAACAAGTGAATCACTTCAAATGCATGTGTCTCTTTGGGATTCAGCTATATCGTATAACCTCTTCTCTCCATCCCCTAAGTGTAGACTTAAGAACTTCCCCCACATGGAAAGAAAGCTGCAGTCTGGACAGGTGTGAATGACAGCTGTACCTCCCGCTACAATGCTTCCAGCAGGGAAAGGGGCCTATGAATGCTACTACCTTTTCAGGTGACAGGAGAAGCCACTTTCCTAACTCTACATCCCTAGTGTCATCCTGGGGCTGGACCACTCCCAGAAATCTCCCAGAGAGCCTTCCTCCCTACTGTGGTTGCTGAGAGGAGAACAGCAGGCTGAAGGAAAAGTCATCCTTATAAAACAACCAGCCATTTGCAGCAATTTTATTTGCAAAGATTTCCTGCTGTGCCTAAATGGTGTGGCTGCTTGGTTTGTTATTTAAAAGAGTGACCCTAGTGAGACCAGAGCTCTGAAGGGGGTGGAGAGTCTGATTCAGACCAGGGTAAGCAGGAGGAGCTTGAACTGAATGTGCGTAATTGAATTCCACTGCTGTTTTTGAGCGTGCTGTGCCTGGTGATAAAACTGCAGACTTGGGGCTAACTCTATAAACCCGTTAGTCAACCCCAATCCTTTCTGGGTCCTGCTAGGAAACTATATTAAAATATTCTCAAGACAGGGCAGGGATGGAGAGTCAAAAACCAGAAGATATATTTGGATGGAGAGGAAGGAAAAGAAAGACAATAGAGATAAGGGAAGAATGCAGGTATATGGACAGGGGAGACATCCAAGAGATGTCCAAATGTCCAGATGCAGAACCCAAGTAAAGGCAGGGAACTGGGGAAGTTTGCAGAGGAATTGCTTTAGTGGAGAAGTAGGTAGGTAAATCTGAAGACACTTATTAAGCAGTACATTTGGGAAATCAAGTGAAGCTGGACTCCCTCTCTTTCTCAATCTCTCTGCTCTACACTGGTGCCTGAAGAACTGAGGAATAATAATCCTTGTTCCCTGTAGGACAGCTACACTGGAGAAGATGGATGTGGGCCTCTAGGACTGAGTAGGGCCCCCTTCCTGGGTGGCCACATGGGAGCATCTCAGGCCTCAGAGAGATGGCAACAAAGGTTAAAACCAATTGCGATTTCAGAGATATGTGGTTAGAGAGCAGGCTTCAGAGATGACATTTACACTGTAATGTAACATAAGCCAAGCAGGAAATAATAATATCTGCAGATCATTGTTTACCCAGCAGAAGTTTTAAGTTAAAAGCAGGCATTCCTGGGCCATATTTATGAGCTTGAAGGTAACATTCACTTGATTTCTTCGTGTTGTTGGGCAGATGTTTTAGTCTCAGTAGTCCTTCATTGTAAGCTTTGATTTTAATTAGCAAACGTTTGGGAAAATAATCTGAATCAGATTTGAATTTAACACTAAAAGCAGTGGGAGGAAAACCAAAGCTACAGAACTGAATCAACAGTACATTTTTCAAGGGAATCTTTATTATCTTGCAGGAACAGAGCAGAACGGGAAGGCTCCTGCAGAGCAGGTGTGCACTGAGACTTGGAGGGCGTCATTCACTTCCCTGTGCCATACACTGTGCAGGAAATGGGGTCAGAGAAATAAGTGCTATGGGAAGGTCACTACTCTCACAGAGCTCACAGGGAAGGGAGATAATAAAACATGCAATTGCCAGTTTGAAGAGTGGCTTTATCGGAAAAATACAAGATGCAGTGAAGGCATATAATGTAGTGCTGTTAGTCCAAGGCTCAGGGAAGACTTCCCAGCAGAAGTAATGCAAAGACTGAAGCCTGAGGAATCTGAGGAATGAAGAGCATGAGGCAGGTAAAGGAACATCAGCACCTGTGTTTGGTGGGAAGGGGCACGCTGGAGAGTAAGTTTGAAGCAGAGAGAGGAAAGAGCTGAAAGCAAGAGAGAGCATGGCGTTTTCGAAGAACTAAACTAAGTTCAGTGTTGCAGGAAGGTAGTATGCAAGGCAGAGAAGAGCATGAGAGAATTTTGGAAAGACTGGCAGGGCCCATGAGGCTGAAGGCTTTATAAACCATATTCAAGAGAAGGGACCTCATTATAGGAGCAATGAAAAGTCCCTGAAAGGTATTAAGGAAGAGAATGACAAAATCACATTTTTAGTTTTGATCACCCTGGCTGCAATGTAGATTGAAAATCAGCAGAACTGGGAGGAGAAAGATCATGTAAGAAGCCCTGCAGTAATGCACGTTAGAAAAAATGGACTGGGATGTTGTAGGAGAGATTAAAACAAGAATGGCATTCTAGAGGTATGGGGGGACTAAAATCCAGGGCAAACAGTATGATTGACTATGAGGTGTCAGGGATATGGAACCAAGGGCATCTTGGAAATTTTTATTTTAGGTAACTTTGTAATAGGATATATCATTTACAGGCAGTGCAGATTTGGCTAGGAGAGGATGGGAGACTAGTAGGAGAAGAGTCAGAAGTTCAGCTTTGGATACTGTGAGTTCTAAGTGGCCATGGAATCCAAAGAAACATATCTGGCCACAGCTAAGGATACAAATTTAGAGCTCAAGGGAGAGGTTCCAGCCAGAGATGTCACTTTGGAAAATATACAGACATTAATTGTATCCTTGGGAATGGATGAGAAAGAAAGAGGGTCTAGGACAGAACCCCAAGAAGTGCCCATATTTAAGGGATGCATAAAACAGGAGTGTGCTAAGGAGCCCCAGATGGAACTGGAATAGAACGAAACTAAAGAGGTAGAAGAAAAACCAAGACAATCTGTACCAAGCAAGGTGCAATACCCAGGGATGATGGATAGAGCAACCTCTGGAGAGTTCATGGTGGAAAAATATCAGGATTGAATCACAGATATAACTACTGTGAACCTGGTTTGACTTTCAACTCTGAATTGAAGCTCTATTCTACAGACTGCAGTCCAGCTCCCTTCTAGAAGTTACCCATGCAACCTCCACTATATGTTTTTCTAACATCCCAAGTATACCTTTTAATATTTTATTTATTAAGCTAGATGGTGAGTACCTGAGTATGCACTAAGTTTTTCTGAATACCTTTCTGTACGTCTTAATACAATTAAAAATAACTTCAAATGGATGTCCAAAACATTGTTGAATGAAAGAAGTCAAGCTATTGAACAGCAAGTATACTTATATTTCCATATATGTAACATCGTAGATTTATATCCATATAAATGTACACGCACAGAGAGATATCTAGAAAGATGTTCACTAATTATTTCTACAATGATTATCTCCAATTAATTGGATTTAAGGTCATTTTTATTTTTAAAACACACTTCTTTATGTTCTATTTAGTTTGAATTTTTGTAATGCACATACATAGAAGTTTTATACAAATAGTAAAACCACAAAAGTGTAGTATAGAATCTTCTACCCCACATAGTCATTTATTACCCCGCGGAGGAGGCACCGCAGTCATGGCTGGGTTATGCAAGGTGAGGTCTTGCTAAACAAACCAGACTAAGAGCAACCATAAAAGCCGCCTCTACAGCAGCATCCTAACCCTTAAAGGCAGAGGCTGGAAAAGCAAAAGAGACAAAAACCAAGCCTGTTTCTTTAAGGGAAGAATATCCTTCATATGACTACAGATCCGCATAACCTGTTCTTCAATCTTTCTACAATACGGCAACATTCGAAAGGTAAGTGGACTGGTCCTCCCTTATTTGTAAGTCTCCTGCATCTTTCCTGGTGATCAAGTAGTACTTACAGATCAGAGAGGCCTAGGTTCAACTCCAAACTGACCACTCACTGGCAACATGACTTTGCATAATTTATGCCTCCAAGCCTATTCTCTTGTATTGTAAAATAGAAACAATTGTTAAAACCTGACTTATGGAGTTATTTTGAGGATCAAATGAAGCCAAACGTGCAAAACCCTTAGAGTAACATGTAACACATAATAAGTGCTCAATAAGTGAAAGTTGTTTTGGCAAGGTGGAATCCAAAACACTCCCCCAATCATGACCAATTGCCATGTCCAGGGCCAGGCTTCAACCTGCTACCATCTTGAACTATTCTTCCTGCAGTTTCTGAACTTCCAACCTGTCTTTGAAGCTCCCCTCTCATCTCCACCATCAATGCGCCCTCTGTTCCACACTCACCTATTTAGCATATTGGACTGGTAGATTCTCTTCTCATGGGTATTGTAACAACTGCTTTTGGGCTCAGGGATGAAGCTGTGTTCGGACAGCATGTCAGAAGCAGCAGTGGTGATTATGGCAATTCCATCTCTCACTCTGGCAGGGAGGCCGTAGTCCCATTCATCATATGATACAGAGATGAGCCCAGTGGGGAACTCCGCAGGCACTGTGTCTGTATCCCCTGCCACCAGACTGGGCACGATCCACGTGTAGCCGTAGCCAGTCAGCCCTACTGAGTTGGCCACTTCAAAGATGTAGGTGGCTTCTTCCTTGGTACAGTAAAGAAGAATGATGGGGCTTTGAAGTTTCTTGAGCTGATTCTGGATCTTAGAATCTCCATCGTCCAGGGACATGTCCAGTAGGAGGACTTCCTCTAGCTCCCAGCCCACAAAGCTATTCTCAATGGTGCTGCGGATCTTGTTTACAAAGTCCTGGTAGCCAGGGAAATAGGTGGTGACGATAGAAAAGATGTACCAGTCATATTCTTCCATGATGTTGAGCATTACGGAAGCTTGCTGTTCAATGGATGGGCCAAACTGGAAGAACATGGAGGATTCATCCTAGAAAAAGAACAGGACAAGAAAAGGAAGAGAGAAAAAAATCAAACCAAAGATGGTAATGGAGATTTTGAACCAAGTGGGTACAAAGATTTGTGTTCATTACTTATTATTTACATAATGCCTTTACAAGTTTGTATTTATAATAAATATTTTAAAATATTTAAATTGCAGACATTTGTAATACCTTTCTTCCAAAAATTGTCTCCTAGACTTTACAGAAAATCAACCTAAGTCTATACTTGCCTTGTCTGAAATCCTTGGGGTTACTGCCAGAGCCTAGGGAAGCTTCCCAAAATCAAATATGTTAATATTTCTATAGCAAAACATATGAAGAATCACACAGTGTAGAATAAAGGCTCTAAACAGCCTCATGGCAGTTCAGGTCAGGTTTTGTTGTCAAATGAGCTATACAAACACAAATACAGATGCTCATACAGACATACACATACATACTTTCCATTTTTCAAGGCTTTTGGATTTCTTCCTTGTGAATGTGTATCACTCAGTCACAGAGTGCATAATCCAAAAATGTCATTGATCTACACATAAACCTATCTATGGAGGTGAGATAAGCTCAGTGGTCCAGAAGGTGAATGGTACTCGGGTACAGACATCAGGGAGAAGTATATGTAGTATGAAATTGGATCAGTATATATTCTATAAACATATAAATGTTAAATTAATATCTCATTTAGTTTTCTCTCTAACTTCTGCTCTGATGATAATATATGCAGAAAAGAATAAGGCTCAAACAGTATGTCTAAGCTGCAAGTTAAAATTATTGCCATTTGAACTCATATCTGATTAAGCTTTACTTCAGACATATAGAAGACATGCTCTTTCTCTGACCTACAGGACACCACAGATCTTGGTTTGACCTGGGCATTGCACACACACTCCACTGTCAATTCTGAGCATCTTCTGATTTCTCCTTCCTTTCCAGGGAGAAGCCATTTTAAATGTCTCCCATTTTAAGCTGCGTTTCACCTGCTGTTGTGAGATGTCAAGCCCTGCATTTTATCTCTACCTTTAGCTAGATGAATCCGAAACCACAAAATGAACACCCTCTCAGTCTTGTCCTCCTCTCTTGACTATTTCCCCTGATTTCCTCCTGGGTAATGGCATCTCTTTCTTTGCTCTGTGCCCCCTATCTTCTATCCCATGGCTCATCTCCATTTTATAGCAATCCAGGCTAACAAAACTGTGTCTTTTTCTAAGGGGCAGTTCCTTCTTATCCCCCAATGAGAGCTTCAAAGTACAGTTACAAGTGACCTGGGCTTTTAAACAAAATTATATAGTGGTTTCTTAGTTCAGGAACATATTGTTGTGCAGCTGAGAAATTGCCAAGCATTTCTTCGGCACCCCTTATTGAAAAAAATACAGACTGGGAAATATCCAGCTGGTATCCAAAAATCCTGATTCGGCAGTGAGAGCTGCCAGCCCCCGGCTCTGCCTGGGCCGTTTGTTCTCGCAGCTTGAGCTTTTCGCGTTTTACACAGGATACCCAGAATGAAACCCTGGATGCTTGGTCATATAGAAGTAATTTTTCCTGCTAAGGGTGAAATGGTGCTCACCAGCACTCTCTTCTCTGAACTTAAAGATGCAGTTGAAGGGGAGCTTCATAGGATCATGTAATTGAGAAAAGCAGGGAGGGTAAGAAGGGTGAGTAGAAAAAAGGGAATGAATTTAAAATAGAATAATTATATCATGTGTATCTATTCCAAACCCTGACCAGTCCCTGTTCCGAGACTTCTCCTAATACATGAGTACAACTCTTAGGCAAAGCTGATCTTGTTGATAGGTTATATAACACAGTGGGACTTTGGTCAGAATGTTTGTGTCCTCCCCAAATTCATATGTTGAAATCCTAACTCCTAAGGTGATGGTATCTGATGGTATCAAGAGATGAGTGAGGCCCTCATAAATGAAATTAGTGCCCTTATTAAAGAAGCCCCAGAGAGCTGCCTTGTTCCTTCCACCCCGTGAGGACAGAGCAAGAAGGTGCTGTCTATGAGTCAGGGCATGAGCCCTCCCCAGGCACCAAATCTACTGGCACCTTGATCTCAAACTGCCCAGACTCCAGAACTGTGAGAAATAAATCTTTTTTTTTTTTTTTTTTTTTTTTTTTTTTGAGTCTTGCTCTGTCACCCAGGCTGGCGTATAGTGGCGCAATCTCAGCTCACTGCAACCTCCACCTCCCAGGTTCTAGCAATTCTCCGCCTCAGCCTCCCGAGTAGCTGGGATTACAGGCACCCCCCACCATGCCAGGCTAATTTTTGTATTTTTAGTAGACACACAGTTTCACCACCTTGGCCAGGCTGGTCTTGAACTTCTAACGTCGTGATCCACCCGCCTCGGCCTCCCAAAGTGCTGGAATTACAGGTGTGAGCCACCGCGCCCACCCAAATATCTGTTCTTTATAAGCTACTCAGTTTATAATTAGCCCGAAAGGACTGAGACAAGTGGGAATCTGGGAAAATACAATTTTATTCCAAGAATTGTCAGTAGCCTACAGAGGACGACGACAGGAAAGGAAGACCAGCGGCAGGGTGACACCCCTATAGAATAGCTGTCACTTTAAAGAGACACCCGTTTGTTTTTCCTTTCCTGCTTCCAGTTAAAGAAAAACTGGGGGATTCCCAAATAAGAAATATTAATACATGAGCTTCGACAAGCCCAGTGGTTATAGCAAAGTGAAGAAATGTTCCAATATGCTTCAAGATGTACAAGCTTGGGATGAAAGGCATCCCAGCGGCAAACAAAGCAGGTCTACCCATTCTGTGATAAATGAACAGATCTTATCACAAGAAGGCCCTTGAATAGATGCAACGTTCATGTGCTGTGAAACCACAGCTGGCTCAAATACATAGCAAGAGATACAAAAGCCATGAGGGTCCATAGTAAATGGGCTCATGTTAATTAGATTGAATTTAAAAGAAAACCAATCTATTAAATACCGACTTGGCCCTCCCCTCTGTTAGGCTTCTCTTAATACTGTCTCTCCCCCAATTGCAAATGGCTTGTAAAGACACTGCCAGCTACTGTGTGAAGGAAGCCAATGCATAATGAGAGTGAGAAATGAGAAAAATTAATATGGCTCCATCATCCCTCACTACATCCTTATTGTACCTTCTAGTTCTAGTATCCTCCACAATCTGATCTTTTTCCTGATTCCTCTGCCCCCATCAATGCCCAGCTCAACCATTTTATTTTGCCAAGCTCTTATTAAATAAGGATGCTTTACATGACCATTTTACCTGGCACCCAAAGGAGGCTAATGAAGCCAAACAGAAGTCAAGAAACAGAATAATAGCTTGGGCCAATGTTTTCTGGTATAATGAGTAGTCCAGTTATTATTCATTTAGTTGACACATCAATATGGTATACAGTGATCAGGAATGGGACAGCTTTTTTTCAGTAAAACTCTAGGCTAGCTATAAGTTGCAAATGGTGACAGGCTTTGCAAATTATGGCCATAGCCACAAATCAAAGGGCAATCTTCATGTGTGCATAGAGTGGAAAGGACTGGTGGCCACACATTCATCTTTGCAGGCACCCAGCATGCGCTATGATTACCACAAGTCATCAAGGATGAAGGACAGAGATATAATTCTGTTTGCAGCTCACTATGCTTCCCCACTTACATTTTTATCTCCTAATGTCATTACAAAATGTTGACATGCATGGGTCCTTGGAGCAGTCTCCTCCTAGTGAAGAATCCCAGTCGAATTTATTACCCGAACGTACTCCTTCAATTCACCTCAAGAACATCTTTAACATATTCCTCTAGAAAGGGCCACCCTCACAGAGATGAATAAGCAGCACAGGGAAGGTAGAATTGTACACTAGACCCTAACAGTCTAGCACCATAATGTGGGGCCCCCATCACTTTGATGATTGTGGTGTTTATTTGCTAATAAGAAGAAACAAAAAGAGGTGCTTTTTCATCTTATTATCTGCCTCAGAAAATAATTGTCCAAAAAATTAGCAGTACATAAGATTCCCCTTCTGCATCATCCAGATCCCTTATCGATCCACTTCAGAAATAAAGGATTAAGTGCACCAGTGGCTGGTAGTGCCCCTGGCAATAGGCTTCCACCCAACACCTTTGGGGACTGTCTCAGCTGAAAAAGCCCACTTCCCCAAAGCCGTGTCCCTTTCCTGGCGTAAATGGCACTGAAAACCTGGCTGTCACAGGTATAAAGACCTAGTCTTCTTGCCCTAACTCTGGACAACTCCAAAGGGTCAGTTTATCTTCAGAATTCCCCCACAGGATTTCTGGAGCTTCCATTTAAACTGCATCACACCTATACTTCTCCTGTCCAGCCTTGTCCAATCTTCCCTTCCCATTCATGGTGTTGATCTCAAAAGCACCCCCTAACAAAACCCCCTGCACACTAACCTCAGGCTCAGAGTCTGCTTCCCTGGGAACCTGACTCTACCCATTTCCCCCTTTTCAACACCGAAAAGAAATTGCTTCAAAGAGAACATATCTATTTTCAAATACTGAAATGACTTATTTGGTAGAAAGACAAATCTTTGCTCATTAAATTCAGAGGAGAAGAGAACTGGGAACAAAGAGTAGAAGTATTAAAAGGCATTATTGGGCTCAATATAAGAAATGCATTTGCAAAAATTATAGGTTCTTAAAATGGAATGGGTCTCATAAGGTAGTGAGCTCTCGGTCATTGTTAGCATTCAAACAAGAGCTGGATTATTATCTAACAGAGGGTTGTTCCCCAGTACATGGGCTGGAAAATTTTATGATTATCCTTAAGACCCAGTTCAAATGTCAGGTCTTTTATGTATGTCATCTTTTCTAACTTGCCCTAGTCAACTCAGTTCTATCTCCCCTTTGCTTTTATCACATTTTGTACATGCCTCAGTCATCATACTTACACAGTAAACATGCCTACTTGCCTTATCCGACTAAAAATGTTTCTCAGGACTACAAACTATACCTTGTTCATCTCTAGATCCCTAGCTGACACATGACACAT